GACCCCCAGGTGATTGAAATTAGCTTTAACTCGACAGATGTTCCAAGGCTGAGACGCCGTTTGAATTTTGACGATCGGGGGTGGAGAATTAGGTGTTTTGGGGGTGCTCGAGCACCCCCTGAAATATACAAGTCACCATATAATAGTGCTCCAGGGTTGTTTCAATTACGTCTGAGACACAAACTGCCTTGCGTAAGTCGCGAGGAGAGTGATGCTGCTGGGAAAACGTACAGCCCACCGCTAAAGTAATGTAGGGTTTTACCAATCTCAACGGTTGGCTTTGACTGGCGATTGTTTAATGCGGAGTGATCGAAAAGAAGATGTCAATAGCTAAAGTTGCAGCTGCAAGGGTGACGATACATATAAGCTACATTCAAAGTTTCATTGTAGTCTGGTTAATCGTTCCTAAGCTTCAGAAGCAGAACATACCCATGACTGAAACCCCACATTACTTGATACTTCTGCTGTGGACTGTACCTATATGTGCTTTTCTATGCAAGAATTCGTCGCTTCCATTCGCCAGGTGCTAGAAAAGCACCGTCTGGGATGACAATTATCCGCCCCTGTTGACGATCGCCCAGCAGTTTCGGACAAAAACATGTTCGTGCAATCTTGGTTTTATTGGTAGCCGTAATTGGTAAAAGTGCTTTTCACATATGAGGGATTTACCCCCGGTCTTAAAAAATGGGGGTTCGCCAATCGTAATCGTGAACCCCCTCCCCATCGGTTACGTCCCTGGTCAGCCCGTGTCCAGAATAGGGCCTTAACCCGGCACCGCCTGGGCTATTTCCGTACCCACGACAGCCGGGGGGGGGGGGGGGTCGAATCCGACCGTAATAGAAAGTATAGAGCCCCGCGCGGCGGCGTTCGAAATGTCTCTACGAGACCTTTCGAAAGCACTCTTAAGATTTTAAGATTTGAGGTCAACTTTCGGTCAAACATGATCGAAAAAATCGATAGCTCCTGCTCAAAGCTCACCAAAATTGACCTCAACGACTTAGTGAAGGTACCATGTGCGTATACTGGTCATACTAAGCACGGGTCAAGGTCAGGTCAGGTCACGAAAAGTCACGGTAGCTCATTTTCTGCTACGTGGGCATGCGACACATGTTTTATGGGTTATTTTTCACGCCGAATCTGATGGTCATGGTGAGACATGTGCACGGATCCGAGAAAATGGATCTGGGATCTGATCCCACGGATCCTGATCTCGGATCAGTCAGGATCATAGATCCAGCTCTTTGGTTTATCGAGAGATCCGTAGGGATTATAGATCCGATTCTATTATTTTTGCTTGAGATCCAGTGAGATCATAAATCCTCATTTATTCTTTGTCAACACAGATATCCCAAAAATCACTCATTGTAACTCACAAACGGTCTTATTTTTTGATTTTATGTGATAGCATGTCATAATCCATAATTTTACGGCACTTAGAAAACATAGAAACACTTAGAAACCTGGTTTCAAATGTTGTGCATGGTGGGATCCAGGGCTGCGGAGTCGATGGATTTTCGGCGACTCCGACTCCGACTCCGACTCCGGCTTTCAAAAACCAGCTCCGACTCCGACTCCGACTCCGGTCACAACTGCCGACTCCGACCGACTCCGACTCCGACTCCGCAGCCCTGGTGGGATCCACTCAGATCATAGATCCACGTTCTTGGTTTATCGTCAGATCCTGTGAGCTCATTGATCCAGGATATTTTTTCACGCCGGATCCGGTGGGATCATAGATTCGAACCTGCAGTTTGCTTAGAGATCCAATGAGATCATAGATCCATCACTCGGATCCATGCACATTGCACGTCTGGTCTGGTCATGGTTATACGTGACCCAAGGTCACTGTCCTGGTCATATGTGTGTATTGAATGGTTGATAAGTACACATGTCAGGGCCAAGAAAAAAAGTCAATTTTTCTTTTCTATTTTTGACATTAAAGGAAATAGTTCACTTTCACGAAATTATTTTTTTTGCAATGGATTTATGATTTTTTATGTTCAAAATGATCAGCAAAGAAAATAAAACCTATTTATAACAAAAGATTATTTTCTATATTTTGATATAAGAAGAACTTTTCAGTTTCTGTAAGGCACAGTCGATCCAGTATGAAAAGAGCATGGGTTCCGAAAATTCTTCAGAAACTAGAGAAATTATCGCGGCCACCGGCATTTGGGCGATCTGCTGCTGCTGAATGTCCTTATTGATCAGTACGAGAATTTCTCTTGAGTTCTCGTAGATAATTTCACTAGTTTCTGAAGAATTTTCGGGACCCATGCTCTTTTCATACTGGATGCGAATATATGCAAGGCACACATCCTCAACGCAATACACCTTTTTCGGGACGAGAAATAGAATATCTTTGCCTAGGGTGATCGTTGGGCTGTAAAAGCTCCTGATTTATGCTCGTCTCAGCCCAAGCTACGGAACTGCTATTCCAGTTCAAAACCCATGTTAAAAAGTGAACTATTTCCTTTAAAAGGCACTTTCCTAGACGACCTTTGTCCCAGGAATCTAATGCTGCCATTTATTTTCACATGCGATGTTCAGAAGTGCCTAAAAAAACACGAAAATGCTCATGACGTCACCATGCCCTATAGGGTAAGGTGCCTAATTAGCGACCCACTTAATTTGAACCGTCATTGCTCACCCTTGTAGGTGCCACTGTGTTACTGGCTTGATTTTCGGAGAGATCGTTCATTTTTTTATTAAAATATAGTCATTTTCTGCCCCAATATTCACTAACTTATTTGTAGTGAGCATTTTGGCAAAACATTGCAAAAAACGCTAATAGGGAACTCTTCCCGATTAGCGACCGGGGAGGGTCGCTAATAAGTCTATGGGTTTCCCAATATTAAAAATGGCAAAAAATGCGACGCCTGAAAAGATGAAATATGATCTAAAAAAAGGTAGCCTATACGCAAAGCACTCAATCACTCGAACAGGAACGTTTATCCAACACATTTAGGTACGTAAGTAAAAACTGATCACGTGATGCACCGAAGGCGAAAAGAAGGCGGAAACCCAAAATTTGCCGGCTATCTTGTATGATATTCGAGGTCCGCGCTGAATTCGGCACCCCTGCAGTCGGTGACGACATTTGGCATCTCCTGCCACACATTGCAAGCTTCACCAACACCTCATTTTCATTTCTCTCTTTTCCCCTTTCTTTCCCTTCTTGAGCTATTTGCGACCATGTCAGGCGCAAATAGGAAATATGAGTTGCGACACATTTTTAACCGCCATGCTGTGCACAGTTGAGCGATTCACTATGGGAAAACGGCAATCAATTAGAAAAGGAATGTCGATTAAGAATAAAGAAGGTGCATCATCCTAATGTGCATCGCTTTTTGTCAGAGAGGGCCCAAATACACACGTTTTGGATAAGAAACTCGTCATTTTTATTTAAACTCACCTGAAACGTCCCACAAGAAACATCGGCGACCGGAAAATAATTTAATTTGATAACCAAAGTATGGCTGACCATTTGACGATGTTTTTACCCCGTTTTCTCCTGCCAGTTTTTCTGTAGGGAGGTAGGTCGCAAATCGGAAAGGGTCGCTAATTAGGCACCTTACCCTACATGTTGGAGCTATTTTTTACAATTTGGGGGTAAAAATCAAGATAGAAAGTGGAAATTTGGAACATGGAATGTTCAAATAGGTCTCTATAACATATATTCCGTTTTTTTTTAATTTTGAAAATTTTGGAATCTAGTAACAGTCATCCAAAAACTGTTTTGAATTTTTAGGGGTGAAAACGCATTTTATGAGAAATGCGAGATGGCCATTTTAAAGAACTCATTGAGCTACGTTTATTCATGTCCTTAATTTTGAACTTTGCTTTAAAACTTGATCTTTGGCGATTTTCAAAGACTTATCATTTTGACGAAAAAATCCATATAGTTCAATCAATAAAATAGTTCAACCTATCACATTTTTTTTTGCAAAATTTATATAAAATGACAAATGATGTAAAATTAATAAGCGAGAAGGTGTACGAAGTTTCAAGTTGATAGCGTAAGCGGTTCGTTAGTTATTCCAGAAAAATAGAGGGGGGTCGGATCCGCCCCCCCCCCCGGCGGTCACGGGCTAACGTGTCCGTGTCAGCACCATTAGACCCAACATTACGAGCGCAAAATGATCACCGCAGTCAACGTGCTCTAAAGCCCTAATAAACAAACAAAAAGACCCGTCAAATAATGTGACGGGCCCGGCGGACGGTCACCGTCTACTTACACTGACTGCGGCGACAGGGTGGACGCGATCGGAACCAAATCGGAACAGACCGCCGGTCGGAGTATCAGAGTCCGCCCCAGAATACAACCGCCAACATAAGAGCCGGCCAGCCTCGGGCGAAGGGACGCGCGGCCCGCAGCCACCGCCGTCAGCACAGAATCACCCCCGGGGGGGACGGGGGGAGGGGGGCAGCGGGATAGGTGGATACGAGATGCAATGTCATGATACGCGCTTCTTTGAACAATGAGCATGGCTTTTAGGTATCATTTTTGTTAAATACCTATCAATCATCACAGCAATTGATCAATAGCAGAACATTGCATTGAATATTAATTTGACTGTAGCAACGTTAAATGACAATTTGGTCGGCTGTCGTCATTCGAGTTTCTTCCGACCGCTTTTCGGTAAGACAGCATCGACCCATCGACCGCCTATTGCTATTGGGAGGGGGGCGGGGGGGGGGGGGGGCAGGGGGTTCTGTTTTTGATAGTCGCACCAATCGCCGTCCAATAAACTTTGAAGATTCATGTCACGACACTGAATGCATTAACTCGGCAGAAAAACGTCATATTTGTTAATTGTCTTCGTGTAAAGCAAGTTGAAACCGCCACAAAAAAATCGGACACCTATGCAAGCGCAAGACGAAAATCTGCTATCACGGTAGGCACTTCGCAACATCATGATACCAAAACTACACATGAATGCACCAGTCGAATCATCATTAGCGGAAAATTTCACTCATAGGCATAACTTTAAACTTACCTATAAATTGCAGGCACGCTTATGAAGGTTAGCTTGTTGCTGGTATTTGATTCTATCACGACTCTTCAGTCAGTCATGGAATATCAAAACAGAAAAATTCCATCGTTGATAACCCGCCGGGTCAATGAACGTAAACAATGCACGTGACGTCTCCGCTCCGTTGCCCATTTCGAGGTCAGGCGGCTGTGGGCCGACCGGGGGCGGCCGCTGATTGGTCAGAATAAGCGGCCACCTGATTGGCGGAGCGGTGACCGGGCGGCCCCCTGATAGGTCGCCGCCGACCGGGCCGCTTCAGAATACGCGCCGTCAAACAGTGAAATGTGTGATAAATCGATTGCAAAAATATCTGATTATCTCACAGGGAGGGGGGTATCTGGTGCATTCACCCCTTCGGCAGCCTCCTAAATCGTTCAAAATTTGTCGCTTTCCGTTAATTGACAACAAAACAGCAATTTTTAGAAGAAAAGGTCTTGCTTTCACGATCTCAGCGAAGCATGAGGTACCCAAATCGGAGGAGTCTGGATAATTTGGGACGATTTTTTGGGAGAGAATGCCCTGCAATGTGCAGTACTCCCTTTCAGCATCGGCCAGTGTACGAATAAGACACAATTAGGCCAAACAATTGGCTGCAAACCTATGCTAATAATCAGCAATTAGCCAAAACACGGGCACCCGACGAACAACCAAACTCGGCCGGCCGGTCTCAGCCGGCTATACCTATACGCCACAGCTGGTGGATACGCGTCGGGCGGCCGGCGGGGGGGGGCGGCCGGCGGGGGGGGGGCGGCCGGCGGCCGGGGGGGGGGGGCGGCGGCCGGGGGGGGGGGCGGGGCAGCGGGAGGGAAGAGCGTATTTGGCCGCGCCAGTTCATGTCGAAAAGCAAATTAGATAAGAAGACCGAACGAAAACTCCCAAAGGGTAGCTTCGTTCGAATTCAGAATCCAGTTTTTCACTCGGTCAGTCAGCCCTCGCTCTTCGGCAGACATGTGCATAGATTCCAGTGATGGATCTATGATCTCAGACCTCAGTGGATCTCGAAACAAACTGCAGATTAGGATCTATCAGGCGACCGGATCCGGTATGAAAAGTCTGTCCTAGATCTATGATCTCATAGGATCTGATGATAGGAATCAAGAATATGCAACTATGATCTGAGTGGATCCCACCATGCACAAAATTAGAAACCAAGTTTCCAAGTGTTTCTACGTCAATTAGTGCCACAAAACTATGGATTGGGACAAACATATCGGAATTTTGATATCGGTGATCTAAGATCAGAGGCCATTTATTCAAATACACAGTTAAAAAACAGAGCTTTCGGTAATAAATACCTACCTAGATCAAGGTATTTATTACCGAAAGCTCTGCTTTTTTAAATGTTAAAAAATATTTTAATATATTGTCGTTTTATATATAGATCAGAGGCCAGTTTTACCAACAGAAAAATAGCCGCCTGCCGGCATTGTTTGCCTAAAGACCGCTTCACATACGGAGCGTAAACAGGGGTGGAATATTAGGAATTTTGGGGGTGCTCGAGCAACCCCTGAAATTCAAAGGTCACCATATAATAGTACTCCAGTGGTTGCTTAAATTACGTCTGAGACCGAACTGCTTTGCGTAAGTCGCGAGGAGAGTGATACTGTTGGGAAAGCGTCCCTGTTATGTGCTTTTCTATGCAAGAATTCGACGCTTCCATTCGACAGGTGCTGGAAAAGCACCCCATGGGATTATGACAATTCTCCGCCCATGAGCGTAAACACGATGAGCACGTAAGCGGATAGGGCTTTAAGTCTTTACTGTTTCACTCTGTATGTGAAGCAATGCAAAAGCCAGGCATCGGACCTAACAAAGAAAATGCATGCAGTCTTGATCAACCTGCTTCAAACGGTTATGTATCAACTCCGGCACCCAGCTGCCGGCTGCGCCACAACGAACTCGAAGCGGCCAGAGTAGCGCCGCTCCTCTCCCTAGATGGCTCTAGTAGTACAGCGCCTGAACTCCCGCTGTGCCGCAAGACACGAGCCCGGGTCTGGCAGCGGCCAGCGGCCGCCTCCAATGGGCTTTTGAGCGATGTAGTTAGGTATGCAATGCGCAATATTCTGCGATCGATGCCGGCAGGCTAACTCTAATCAGGCGGTACGAACAGTCGGCTATACCTACGGTACTAGGGCCTGTGTTGAGTTCATCACTTTGATCCTGCAGTGGTGCCTGTTCGGCACAATAGGAAATGCGAGCATCCCACCGTGGCAGTGGACAAGACACGGACCGTCGTACCAGCTGTGGCCACACTGCAGGTCCTCGGGAATACGTGCCCCCGATCGGCGCCCTCGAGCCCCCCCCCCACGGTGAACCAGCGCCGCGCGCCGTCACCGCGGCTCTCCAGTCCTCCATGGCCATCCTTCGTCCGTCCGGATCCTCTTCATATTCCACCGCCACCGACAGACTCGTTCCCTGGATCGGTGGCTCACCCCGTGCCTGGCGACGGCTGTGGTCCGCCGGCTCAGCTGGCTGCTCGTGCTGGTCGGCTGCCGCACGGAGCCCGCCCCGGCCCGCCCCGGCTCACAGTCGGACTCCGTCTGGAGCGCGCCCCGTCAGCCGGCTGGGACCGGGCGCCGCCGGCGACTCGAACCGGGACGGCGGCGTGGGAGAGCGGTCGCGGCCGGCGGCTGGCGGCGGCGGCGGGCCCGGCGCTGCCAGCGCGGTACTCCACCCGCCGGGCTGCCGGCGCGCCGGTGCCGCCCTCTAGGGCGCTCTCGTAGTCGGTTCCCGTATCTCATCGCAGACAAACTTGGACGGCACTGGCGGCGAGGGGGCGGCGGCCGTCCGGCCGCGGCTCGGTGACACGCCAGGGCACCGCCGGAGTCGGCCGCTTCTGGCCAGACGTCTGGTGACTGACTGACAGACGTGTCCTGCCGGCCTGCTGAGGTGAACCGCTGAGCTCCGGCTGGCCCAGCGGCCCGCGGCGCCGGACAGTGAGCCAGCGGAGCCACGGCCGAGTCTAGCGCCGCCGACACCATCCAGAGCCGCGACACCATCCTTCTGCAGCAGACACACACAGACAGACACACAGTCACAGCCTCTGAGAAATGCGGACATATCCTCACAGGCCACCCGTTCGGGCTCTAATGCAGATGACAACGATAACCTCTTAACAGGTGGGAGCTCGCACTGAAAAAGAGCCATTAACAGCGACTTTATTTGCGCAACTTCAGTTGGCAGAGCTCGATGGGAAACTTGGGCTGCTCCACAGGTCAGTACCGAGCAGCAGTCAGTGGAGACAGCACACACCGGACAGTCCGGGCAGCGGACTCACACAGGACAGCAGACTCGGACTGGGTATCAGACACGGACCCAGTATCAGGCAGGGGCCAGACAGCGGATACAGACAATACTTCAACGGTCTGAATGTGAATGCTTATCAAGCCAGTTGATTGATATTCATGCTAAATCAGTCGGGAACACTCAATGGAAACTATCAATTTCTATTTTAATCATTTTGGTATATTGGGAGCCCCTCTCGATTTCGTTCAAAATCGCCACACAGGTGTCCCACCACCAGACGAAAAACGTTTCATATCCCGCTACTTTCCATGACTCACAGCTCCGCCCGGTCTCGATGGGACGTCGCCGCCCTGACCCGAGATATGCTGCGCGCGCCGCCGGACCGGTCATCAGTCGCTGCCGCCGCTGACGCCAGTGTCCGAACAGCTCCAAACACTTTCCGGCCCTGTATAGCAGGATGTAAGCATCAGAGGCGGGAACGATCAATGCAGGGATGTAGAACATTCACAATGGACTTCACTGCCTGCATGAAGTGCAACAGGATCAGAAGCCAGTCCGTGTCCCACTGGGTCCGTGATATCCAAGTGTCCGTGTCCTTGAGCACGTCTCCGGCCGGCGGGGCTGACCCGGCCGTGTGTGACGTCACGCCCCGCCGGTCGGTCCTACCCCCACACACCGGCCGGCGCCGTCACCTGGCGGCCGCCGGGGGCGCAGCGGCCCCCACGGCGCCGAGCCCGGCCTGGGCAGCGGGCGGACGTCCCGCGGAGGATCACCGGTCGGCATTTACAGAGCGGCGCCGCCTGCCCTCCCCAGTGCCGTCCTCTCGTCCGCTCTGCTCCCCGCTCAGTGCCCACCTCAGTTCGCCCAGCTGAGCCACGGCGCACAGCAGAAACGCCGCTCTGGGTCCTACCCTACCGAAAAAGTGAAATCAATCTGAATTGGCTGCAAACGGATTTTCACTGTCCCGTTGAAACAACCATAGACCACTATATACCATACAGCCTACATCATAACGGCAGTTTAAAATGGATGGTGTTGTATAAACAATTTAATGAAATTATGAGATATCATGGTTCGTACTTCATAAGGTCCCGGTCCGTCGTCGGTTCCTGCGTACCCCCCCCCCCCCCCCCGCCGGCAGCCATGAACGCCCACCTGCAGTGCTGCTGATCGCCCTGCTGACCTCGATGGCCTTCGACAGCTCCGCCACCGAAGGCATCTCGGCCGGCACCGCGCTGGCCATCGGCGTCGCCGTCGTGGCCGGCTTCGCCATCGCGCGCTCGTTGGGCGGCCACCGCTGGCGGCGGGCCGTGGTCGCGCCGGCACCCCTGACCCCTTGAGCAGGCGGCCGCCGGCGTCTCGCTGAGCTGCGGCCGCCTGAACTGGAGGCTGCCGAGCACGCCCAGTTGATTGGGGCGTTGATTGGGGCAGGGGGCTCCGTTTTTGATAGCCGCACCAATCGCCGTCCAATGAATTTTGAAGGTTCATGTCACGACACTGAATGCATTAACTCTGCAGAAAAAAACGTCATTTTTGGTAATTGTCTTCGTGTAAAGTAAGTTCAAACCGCCACAAAAAAATTGGACACCTATGCAAGCGCAAGACGAAAATCTGCTATCACAGTAGGCACTTCGCAACATCATGATACCAAAACTACACATGAATGCACCAGTGGAATTATCATTAGCGGAAAATCTCACTCATAGGCATACCTTACCTTTAAATTGCAGGCACGCTGATGAGAGTAACGATGAAGGTCAACTTGTTGCTCGGCTTAGATTCTATCACGACTCTTCAGTCAGTCGTGGAGTATCAAAACAGAAAAATTCAATCGTTGATAATCCGCCGGGTCAATGAACGTAAACAATGCACATGGCGTATCCGCTCCGTTGCCCATTTCGAGGTCAGGCGGCTGTGGGCCGACCGGGGGCGGCCGCTGATTGGTCAGAATAAGCGGCCACCTGATTGGCGGAGCGGTGACCGGGCGGCCCCCTGATAGGTCGCCGCCGACCCGGCCGCTTCAGAATACGCGCCGTCAAGCAGTGAAATGTGTGATAAATCGATTGCAAAAATTAAAAATATATGATTATCTCACAGGGAGGGGGGTATCTGGTGCATTCACCCCTTCGGCAGCCTCCTAAATCGTTCAAAATTTGTCGCTTTCCGTTAATTGACAACAAAACAGCAATTTTTACAAGAAAAGGTCTTGCTTTCACGATCTCAGCGAAGCATGAGGTACCCAAATCGGAGGAGTCTGGATAATTTGGGACGATTTTTTGTAGAGAACGCCCTGCAATGTGCAGTACTCCCTTTCAGCATCAGCCAGTGTACGATTAAGACACAATTAGGCCGAACAATTGGCTGCAAACCTATGCTAATAATCAGCAGTTGCCAAAACACGGACACCCGATGAACAACCAAACTCGGTCGGCCGGTCTCTCAGCCGGCCATACCTATACGCCACAGCTGGTGGATACGCGTCGGGCGGCCGGCGGGGGGGGGGACGGCGGCCGGGGGGGGGCGGGGCAACGGGAGGGAAGAGCGTATTTGGCCGCGCCAGTTTACGTCGAAAAGCAAATTAGATAAGAAGACCGAACGAAAACTCCCAAAGGGTAGCTTCGAAATCAGAATCCAGTTTTTCACTCGGTCAGTCAGCCCTCGCTCTTCGACAGACATGTGCATGGATTCCAGTGATGGATCTATGATCTCAGACATCAGTGGATCTCGAAGCAAACTGCAGATTAGGATCTATCAGGCGACCGGATCCGGTATGAAAAGTCTGTCCTAGATCTATGATCTCATAGGATCTGATGATAGGAATCCAGAATATGCAGCTATGATCTGAGTGGATCCCACCATGCACAAAATTTGAAACCAAGTTTCCAAGTGTTTCTACGTCAATTAGTGCCAAAAAACTATGGATTGGGACAAACATATGGGAATTTTGATATCGGTGATCTAAGATCAGAGGCCATTTATTCCGACGCTTCCATTCGACTTCCATTCGCTCCCCTGGGATTATGACAATTCTCCGCCCATGAGCGTAAACACGATGGGCACGTAAGCGGATAGGGCTTTAAGCCTTTACTGTTTCACTCTGTATGTGAAGCAATGCAAAAGCCAGGCATCGGACCTAACAAAGAAAATGCATGCAGTCTTGATCAACCTGCTTCAAACGGTTATGTACCAACTCCGGCACCCAGCTGCCGGCTGCGCCACAACGAACTCGAAGCGGCCAGAGTAGCGCCGCTCCTCTCCCTAGATGGCTCTAGTAGTACAGCCCCTGAACTCCCGCTGTGCCGCAAGACACGAGCCCGGGTCTGGCAGCGGCGAACTGTCGCCTTCAATGAGCTTTTGAGCGATGTAGTTAGATATGCAATGCGCAATATTCTGCGATCGATGCAGGCAGGCTAACTCTTATCAGGCGGTACGAACAGTCGGCTATACCTACGGTACTCGGGCCTGTGTTGAGTTCATCACTTTGATCCTGCAGTGCTGACTGTTCGGCACAATAGGAAATGCGAGCATCCACACCGTGGCAGTGGACAAGACACGGACCGTCGTACCAGCTGTGGGCCTGTGGCCACACTGCAGGTCCTCGGGAATACGGGCCCCCGATCGGCGCCCTCGAGCGGCGACCCCGTCAGCCCGAGGCTGACACCCTCTGACCAGTGCGATATTGACAGATGACAGAAGTTACTGACAGAGGGCAGCCGAGCGGAGAGCGGCGCCGGCCCGCCGGCATATGGTGCAGCCGGCACGGCTGAGGCCGATCTATTAGAAACGGGATTTCGCAATTGATCCCGTCCCGGATGGCGAATGACTTGTATGTAGGTACAGTACGGCGAGACAAGCCTAAAATTAAATAATACACGTATGTGTATTTTCAACTGCCTATGTTTTATTCACCGTAAAACAAAATAAACTATTGCTCTTTCAGGGTTACTAATGGTGCATTTATCGATGCTCGAATATTATTCTTTCTGTCTCAGTGACTGCAGACTGCAGAGCGGTGTTTCACTGGACGCTGATATCACGCTGCCGGCGCATTTCGCGACCTGACGTCACAAACTGTGGCAGTGTTGGAGATACGAGTTTGTTGATGTCTCCATGGAAACTCAATTTGACACGTGTGCTGGCAGCGCGCCAGCAGCGGCCGTGAAACAGGGCCCCCGAGTCCGAGCACCTGCTCTGGAGCCCGGCGTGGCCGCCGATGCTCCAAGGCCCGCCAGTGTTGCCGCTGCTCCCGTTCTCCTCGGGCGGCGCTGGCAGCGGGCCGCCCTGGGGCGGGTGCGGGCCCACCGGGCGGTCCTGTTTAGCCCGGCTCCGGAGCGGTGCACGGTACACCGCTGCATCCAGCACGCGGACAGCGCGGCGGCGAACCTCCCACGGTGAACCAGCGCCGCGCGCCGTCACCGCGGCTCTCCAGTCTTCCGTGGCCATCCTTCGTCCGTCCGGATCCTCTTCATATTCCACCGCCACCGGCAGACTCGTCCCCTGGATCGGCAGACCCCCGTCAGCCGGCTGGGACCGGGCCGCCGCCGGCGACTCGAACCGGGACGGCGGCGTGGGAGAGCGGCCGCGGCCGGCGGCGCACTGTGGGGTTTTTATCGATCCTAGCACGAATTTATTTATATCGCATCCTCCGCTACCTTAACTAATTTTATTTCACCTTCAAATGGTTAGGCTTAGGGTGTATGATCCCTGACAACATGGTTGGCTCTCCTGCTTGACCACATCCCTCCCCCGCCCCCTCC